ATCTCAAAGTTGGAAAGGTGAATGATATATATTTCCTATATACACAGGAGAACAGACCCACCCAAGGTTTAGGAAAATATGCTTTTCAGTTCACTACATACTCTTGATTAAATATCTCATATTGGGTTTAGTTGAATTTTAACTTTTTTATTTTTGTTTAGTACAGATCCAAATAAGTTCAGCTGATAGAATAGATGACTCAAGTGGTGAAATTCATTGCCCTTTTTTATATTATTCAGTTTTTTAAAACTAAAAATTCAGCTCTTTTAACTTAATATTCTTTTAATAATAAATACTTCATAACGTGCTTCTTGTTTATAAATAACATGTTTCTCAAATACTAATGTTTTTCATGTTAAAAAATCAGTTAAATGAAATATTTCCTTTTATTCAGCTTATGTTTTTGATGAATTTGGAATTTTGCATTTGGGAAGCTGTACTTTAGCAACCCTAAATCCATACTCCAAATCAACAGTAACTTTTATGTTCTACTCCCTAAACAGCTTTCTGTTCAAACAAATCCAATGCTTTGTACACGTTGTTACCACCTTAAAATACCCTTGTCTCTGGTATACAGCTCAAGCCTTTTGCAGAAAAATTCTGGTCCAGAAAACTTAACCTCTGTCTGCATCACCAGCATCTGTATTTCTATATCTGGGCACCACCTTCTTGGTTGTCAATCATTATTTTGAATAGGTCCAGCTTTTTTATGAAATCTTTCAACTTTTGTGGAATGTCTTTCTTTTAGATATCAGGTTAACTTCATGTCATCTTTCCAAAAATCTCAAATTCAATTTAAAAATTAATTTCTATACTTCACCATATCCCAGGTAATATTGGTTTTCCATTACAGTTCCCAAATTCAAACTCCATAGCTCTTTCCATGTACCTGATATTCTGTATTGCACAAATCTGCTTGTATTCTTTCTCCATTCCCAGTCTCCACACTTCTTAAGGGAGGGTCTGTGCCTGATATAGCTTTGCATGTCAGCAATTCTGTAGCCGACTTCTCTGATGTGCAGAAAGTGCCTGACACCTGCCTGATTGCTAAAAACTAGACTACTGGAAGTTACTGTTTAGGGAGACATTTGTGTGACCTAACATCATAGGCTAAAAAAGACCTAACATCATAGGCTAAAAGTGGATAGGATTTTAGATTTCACCTGGTTTTAGGGTTCCTAAAAAAATTTGGAGTGAGCAAATAAACCACTAATATTCTTCATTTTAGACGTTAAGAATGAAAGATAAAAATATCCCTTTTTCCTGGTTGAGAAGAACTGAATGACCCAAACCTCTTATTTTATATGTGATTGAGGCCTAGAAATAAAGCTAATTGTCTACTATTATATAATTTTGTGATGCATGTGGGACTATTTCTTTTGTCTTAAATCACACACTAGTGTTTTTAGAACCAGTGCCCCAGGACCTGAAGTCCAGTTTTACTCTGATGATGAATTAGCTTTGCCTTTAGGGATCAGCATTTACAGACAGGCTGCATCTGAGCAGAGGGAGATGACCGCTCAGAGCACATTGCTTTTTCACTGTCCCCAAAGACATTCTGACCTTTTAATTTCAGTTCCTTCACTCTGCGATGTACCATATCCCCCTTCAGAGTAACATCATGCTTCATTTCAGTTTTCTTCAGAGACAGAGTAACATTACAGCATTCAGCTTTTACTAATAACTTGACCTTTCAATTCAGCAATGCTCATACTGGTACCATGTGAGATTTTTTTTTTAAGAAAGAAAAAGAAAAGACTATATATATATATATATATATATATATATATATATATATATATATATATTATGCTATTAGTTAGGAATTCCAGCCAATTTACTAGTAGAACATACCATCAGGAAGTCTAATGAAGTCTATTTTGTGTGTGTGTGTGTGTATGCAGAACTACAAAACATTTTCTATTTATTTTTAGGCAAACAATGACTACATTTTATAAGTTCAAACGTAATTGGTAAATGTAAACAGGCTTTAAGAAAATGGTGTGAGGGACAGACAGTTATAATAGTCTTAAAAAATGAAGTGTAGGGAAAAGGCCATGATTTACGCACACACACAAAAATTCTAATGTTTGTAGACCTGAAAGCAATTCATGATGAAATGATTTTTTTTAAAATAATGAAATATTCTTTGGAAATACATGACACAAAATTTAAATATTTGCCTAAGTCTTGAAAAGAATAAAACATATACCAGTGGCTAATATGTGGACTGATTTTCCTTTGAGAAACAGAAATGGAGGACAACATGTTTAAAAGAAATAGAGACAGATTTCCAATGACAGTATACCATTCTTCAATAAAAATTCAGACCATTTTAATTCATTTTTATTCTCTCTTACTCCTGGACTCAACCTTTTTTCTCTACCAGTAATTTTTTTAACTGTTCAAGAGTGGTGTTTATTGCTGCCAGTGTCTTTCCAGAGTAAAGGAAAGAAGGGGATCAAGAAACAGCCATTATTTTATAAGGTATATAATGAAAGATTTCATGGTTATAAATATATTCATCTGTAAACTACTTTATTCTGTGAACATAAAAAACTAAAATCAAGTTATATGAGAATATAGCATTCATACACTGTAATGTAACTAGATTTGGTAGATTTGTAAACAAGATTATTTTTAAAGTCATATTGACTTCATTGATTTTCATAAGGGTGCTCTCTGTTCTAGGTAATGGACTTTTTATTGTGATTTACTAATAAACAGCTGGAATTCCTTAGGGCCTTTCTTTTTTTTTTCCCTGTAGTGACAGAAGCTAAAGGCTGAAATGTGTCACCATTAACCTTGGGACTATTGGATTTTTTTAGTTTGTATTTCAACTATCTTTTACTTAATGATGTCTGCATGGTTATAATATTTATCTAATAACACATGAGAGAATTCTGTAAGTACTATATTTCAGCACTCAAAGAGGCTTTTTAACAAAATAGAAGAAACACTTTTTATGTTTTCATGATAAGTTCAGTACTTATTTTTTTTCCTGAAAAACAAATGTCCACATTATTATTTCACCTGTACTTTAACATGTATGCACACAAACCCTCAAATGTAGACACATTCTGACTGCAAAAGCCCTAGCGATTGCTGAGTTGTTCTTCTGTTCTTTTTCCTGTGGTCACAGCCTCATGAAAATCAGCAACCCCTTCACTCACTAGGAAGCTCCTGCATCTTCCAGATGACACCTACCTGTTGAAGGCCTATTTGTGTACCTTCAATTAAGCTTCTGCATAATTGAAGATCCCAATTTTGAATGGGTTTATAAAATACATATTGTGGTGGATTTATTAGGGAAAACATATGGTAAATCTCCTTGAAAAATAAAATGGGAAAACCTCACATTTTTCATGGGACTAGAACATGTTTTCAAAATGTGAGCTCTGAAGTCCCATGTTGATTTCAGGCAGCTTCATGGAATGAATTATTATAAAAGGAATTTGACCCTTTCTATCTGTTTCTATGAAGAGCAATCTATGCCATTAGTCCCTATAAGGAAGAACAGGAAAAAAATGGAAATATATGACTATCTATCTGTGGGCTCTCACAGGTACATTTCGATTCCAGACTTAAAGGTGTATGTCTCTGTAAAGGTTATTTAACTTTCCAAATGAGGGATGTTGGAGAAGATACATTATCATTTTCATCATCTGTGAAATGTAGATAATAACAATATCTTCCTCACTGCTGTATGAGGATTAAATTATATCCCATATGCAAAATATATCAAAAGTGGTTGGTATATAGTAAGAGAGATGTTAGTATTTACTTCTTATTATGCAATTATGGTCCCCTATATTCCTGAGACTTAGGGAACATGTAAACTACTTAGTAAAGGGGACTTTGTGTTAGGATTTAGATGACAATCCTTGAGATGGAGATTTTCCGGGTATATCCTCACAGGCTTAGTCTAAGCATGTGAGCACTTCAAAACCAAAGAGAGATGGAAGAATATGTCCGAGAGATGAAACAGAGAAGGAGGAGAGAACGAAACAAGAGAGAAGCTGAACCCCCAGTCGCTTGCTTTGAAAATAAAAGAGGGACCAAAAGTCAAGGGTTCTCCATACTGCTTTCCATATTGGTTGCACCAATTTGAAGTCCCACCAGCAATGTTTGAGTGTGCCTTTTTCCCCACATCCTCGCCAACACTTATTATTGTTTGTATTCTTCATAGCTGCCTTTATGACTGGAGTGAGGTGAAATCTTAGAACAGATTATATTCCGTGCTTTTATAATTTTGCCAAGATGAATCCTAATGTTATGTATAACTGAAAACACCAATAAAATACAATCATCATCATCATCATCACCTAAATAAATAAAAGAAAAAAAAGAAAATAGAGATTTTAATAATGACAACAGTGAGAATTGAATCATGCCTATAATCTGAATGGATAAGGAAATAGATTCTCCTTCCAAAGGAAAAGGATCTGGAAAGGATGCAGAAGCGATGGCTTCCTGATATCAGATCTAATTTCCCAATGAGATCTGTATCATACTTGTACACTAAATGATTGCTTTTATAACACTAAGCTGCGATAATTTGCCTTCGCATCAATAAAAACTGATAGAATTGCTATGATCATTATCTTTCTGAGCTTTTCAGTTTCATCATTAGCAATTTGAATAAACAACTGTTGCTACAAAATGCTCAACAAAAGTCACTATATTTCCAGGAACAGACCAATATCCAAATATTCCAAATATTTGCTATAAAAACCTGAGTTTTCTAATATGAATTCAAATTTCATAAGATCAGGAAGATGTCTGCGATTAGTGGTATTGGTTTTGTGCTGTTCACTTACATTATTAGGAGCCTCTTAAAAGAGTCAATATCCTCTTGTCTTTTAAGATTATTCCTATTAACTATAATTTTCTAATCTTTACTTTGTATATGGAGAAGTTAGAAGAAAGATAGATTTTGTACTAGATATTTGGAGAACATACAAAATTTTTCTAGAAAATAAAGTTGTACTGTTACTTACATGCAGAAGCACAGTGCTAGAATAAAGTGGACTATAATACATACTTTAGGCCACTTTAGAACAAATGGAGTTGGTTTCCATGGAGTTCACACAACATCAATTACATTCATATAAAAATTTTTCCATGAGATCTTTCTGAACTCACTGGTTTGAGGCATCCATTAAAATGTCAGTTTCCAAGTTTATCTGAAAATCAAAAGGTAGAAAAAGAGAGAAGTTCCTTAAATTTCAAAATATATTGTATTAAACAATAGAATTGGGCCATAACCACATATTATCTGCCAAAATATGCCATCATTGTCAGAGAATACTGAAGCTGGAGTCATTCCCAGATCAGTACACAAAAGCCTCTCTTAACTTCTAAGAGTCAATTTCAATTTCAGTGTTATGTTTATTTACTGGATATTCTCTGCAAGTGAAGGACAAGTGTACCAAAATTACCAAGGTATATCAGCTTGTGTATGGAAACTTCTTTCTTATGTACTTGGGGATAAAACATAAAAATATATACCTCATATTACCACAGAACCTTTTAAAAATGGTTTTAGTTTTATTTCTTTTGGAGAGGTGGAGTGGAAATGGACTTAAATGAAATTACTTATAATTTTTGAGCCATTTAAGTGACATTTCCAATCATAGAAAAGATTGTTTTAAAAAAAATGGTTTCATAAAATCTCAAAAGATACAATGAAATTGTCTAAGTAGAATGTTTTTCAGTCGAGTTTAATTTCTAAGTCCAAAAATGTATAAGCACCAATATGCTTTAATGTGTTTTGAAGGGTTGATAAAAAAATATGACATTATAGAAGGTTGGCACAGAGAGCAACTGAATAGAGATTAGGAAAAATAACGATATGTACATTTTTGTGAAATTAATAAATCCCAGATGTGACTGTGGACATGTATAAAATCTGCATATTTATTCCTAGCTTACAACTCATGGATGCTTTGAATCCCACACAAACATTTCGCAAATTAACCCCAATATCCAGCAGTGTCTCACTACAGTTAGCACATCTCCAATCTTCAATTATTGTTTGTGAATAATTTGTCACAGGTCACAACCCTTACTCTAGCCCCTTGATGGATAATTAAAATTAGTGCTTGCATGTTATTTACCTCCAAACCTTTTTATTCCCCTGTAAGCTGTTTGATATTTTTATAGAAACAGCTGTGAACATCGTTCCTGTTTCAAATGAGTGAAAATTCATTCCCCAATATAAAATCTTTTATGATGATCACTTTAAACACAAGCAAAACTTCACAGGTGAGAAATTCACTACTACATATTGAAATTCTCATAGAGTCATCTAGAGAGGAACTGATATTTAATTCTCTTATAAGAGTGGTCAATACAACAATGTTACTAGATTGGCACAAGCAAAAGTAGGCTGTATTCAAAAGAAAAGGGATTCATTAACAACTCTTAGCCATATATCTGAGAACAGGAGTAGTGCTCATTTAAAGTGCTTTGTCTATGGGTTGAAAGAAACTTACCTTATTTTACTTTGATATAAAATAGTGAAATGTAAGAACATTCCTAAATTAGAAGTCCAATAAAAAGCAACTTTGTATTTAAAAAATCAGAAAAATCCAGCATGTACTCTTTCCAAGCCAATCCCACTTGAATTGTGTAGACAGATAGACCATCTTCCAGGACTTAAAATATTGCCACTCAACCACATACAATTCTGAAGATCCATGTTGTGTGTTTTCTTTTAAGGTAACCAATTACAATTAAAAATTATATATATTTTTGAGAGTTTGGGAAAATATGTATAAATATAATTCATTTTTATTACTTAATTTCTTTTTTAAATTCCCCAGTCACTAAATATATTATTAATGTTTTGTAAATGATGTTGTTCCTTTCATGTTTTGTAGATACCAAGATTTTGATTTTAGAATAGTTCCATGTCCCTTATAGTAACATTTTTATAGCTGGACTCATGATAATTCAACATTTTCAAGCTAGTATTAATTGGGAGAGAGAGAGAGAGAGAGAGTATGTTTATGCACATTCTGCTGAGAATCAAACACTCAACCACAGGTATGCTAGGCAAACACTCAGCTACTGAGTTACATTTCTTGCACATTAATAGAGTTTTTGACAATTTCTCATTTGTTAGTTTCATTATTTTCTTATACAGGGTCAAGGCTGAAACAGAATTGGAACCAAACATCATTCATAATTGTGTTTTAGTAAAATTGTTTCACTCACCCTAATTAGTCAAATGAAATCTGAAAATTTCATTGCCAAATAAAGTCGTTTCTATGCATTGAAATATGAGTACACGCAAATGCCAAGAATGAAGTCAAAATGAAAGTTCTCTATTATGTTTTCCTCCATAGTCTTAATTTTACAATAAAATAGCAATATCTGAATTGAATGCATAGTTATTATTTTTAGTATCACCATGTTATTTACCTTTTAAATAAATGCCATCTTAGAGAGTAAAATGAATACAATAAAATAATAACATAGAATTTCATTTTTAACAACTTTTAACAACTGACATATCATCCAGAGAGAGAATTAATAAAGAAACATTGCACTTTAACTAAACTTTAGATCAAATGGGCCTAACAGGTGCATTCAGAATATTGCATCTCACAGTAGCAAAAGACATATTCTTCTCAAGTCCCCAAGACATTGTCCAAAATAAACAAATTGTTAGGCCACAAAATTAATCTTAAAAAATTTAAGAAGATTAATAATATTAAGCATATCTTCCAAACACAATGATATGAAAGTAGAAATCAAATAACATGAGAAGGTCTGAAAAAAGTTTAAATATGCAGAATTTAAATGACATTTTCTTAAAAAAAATCAATGAGTAAAAAAAAACTAAAAAGGAAATTTTTAAGATATCTTGAGAAAAATGGAAGCAGACCACGCCAAATTGACAGAACGTAGAAAAACAAGTTCTGAGAGGGAGGTTTACAGCAGTAAAATTGTACATTAAAAAAGAAGAAAGATCTCAAATAAATACTACAATATTAAAATAAGAGAAAGAACCTGAGATTAGTGGCAGGAAAGTAAAAAAAAAAGTAATTTAAATGATCACCAAAATTAAGGGTTGAGTTACAGATAAAGAAAATTGACAAACCTTTCACTAGACTGAGAAAAAAAAATAACGAAGTCTCAAATAAATAAGATCAGAATTGAAAAGAGTAGACGTTACAACTTCTGTGGTCCATTATATACTACAGAAATATAAGGTATCATGGTGACACATGTCTGTAATTCTACCAACTGGGAATCTGAGGCTGGAGGACTGCAAGTTCCATGTCAGCCTCAGTCACTTACTGAGGACTCAAGGACTTTAATGATTCCCTACCTCAAAATAAAAAATAAAAAAGGGCTGTCGAGGTAGCTCACGGGTAATGCAACTTGAGTTCAATCCCCAGTGGCATCCCAACCCTACGCAGACGCACATGCATACACACACACACACACACACAATAAATAAATAAAGGATCATAACAGTCTGATATGAACAGTTATATACAAATTGGATTATCTAAAAGAAATGAGTAATTTTCTAGAAACTTGGAACCTAATGGGACAGGGCTATATTAAAAAAAAAAAAAATCTCTGAACTAATCATTAATAAGGAGATTGAATTAGTAATCAAATATCCCAACAAGGTAAAGCATAGGACCTAATTAGACTTCATGTTTGAATTCTACCAAGCATGTGAAGAACTAGTAACCAACCTCAAACTTTCAAAACATCAAATAGAAGGAAACATTTCCAAAAGAATTTCACAAGTCTAACATTACTCATCATGATGGAAGTTATACCAGAACACAATTAAATTTAGAGCAATATTTGTGATCAACATAGATGCAAAAAGTCTCAACAAAATACTAACCAACAAAAATTCATAGCATATTAAAAGGATCATTCATCATGATCAACTGAGATTTTATTCTTAGAATAAAATGGTTCAATATACCCAAATCAATAGAAGTGATACACCACATTAACAGAATGAAGGACAAAATCTGCATACCCATCTCCATAGATTCAGAAAAAAATCTGACAAAACTTGACATCTTCTCCCAAGGAGCACTCAAAAAGCTAAATGTAGAAGAAATCTAACTCAACCCAAAAAGGCCAAGTAACACAAGCTCACAACAGCATTATACTTTGTCGTGTTACTCACAACTAAAACACTCAGGGTCACTCCAGGTTAACTGGGCTGCACGAAATAATCACGAAAGAGACAGGGATACCTTTTTCTTTGGGTCCTGTGATGGCTCCTCTGAGCTTAGGGGTCCATGAAAAGAAAGAGAGACAGAGTACACGTGCTGAACCCTTTTATTGAGGATAAGCTATTCAAATGAGGCAAGGGGTCAGGTTTTGGGGGGTTGAGTCTAACTTCATGTTTTCTGCTGACAGCAGATTGACTGACATCTAGGAAGGCCACATCCAAAGGCAGAGCAAGAAAAGGGGACACACAAAGGGAGCTTCCATGGAACATTCTATCCCAAACAGGGAAAAGGAGTAGGATTACAAAAGAATAGATGAGTGTAGTTCAACCCCAGGGGTATGCCTACTCAGAAGACCGGCCTTGCTATCCAAGTGAGGGGGAAAAGACAGAGTCACCAGTCATGGCACTACTATGCCAGACTCAGTGATCTTTCAGATCCCCAAGGTACATCAGGACTGGAAGGTGTGGTAACTCAAAGTGGCTCCCCAGAATGCTAAATGGTGAAAAGTTGAAAATCTTTTCTCTAAGATCATGAGCAAAACAAGGATGTCCATTTTTGCATCTTCTCTTTAAGCTGATATTGGAAGTTCTAGAGAGAACAATTGGGCAGGAAAAACAAATAAAAGATATCCCAATAAGAAAAGAGAAAGTTACTTTTTTTTCTGATTGAAGATGACATGCTCTTATATGTAGAAAATCTTAGACTTTTGAAAAAAAGTTAAAACTAATCCACAAATTCAGAAAAGTCACAGGATATAAAATAAACACGCAATAATCTTGCTATGTATTATTAGTGATCTGTATTAAAAATGAATCAAGAAAACAATTCCATTTATGATAGTTAAAAATAAGGCAACCTGGGAATAAATTTAAGCAAACAGGTGAAAGTTCCGTTCATTAAAAACTCTAAAACATTGATTAAAAAATTAAAGAAAAAAAAAGAAATGTCATGGATTAAAAGAATTA